GTACACAAGAAAAGCAGCAAAAAAATCTATTTTTATATATATATATATTTTTTTTTAATCATGAAGAAATCAGTGGTGTGGTTGGTAGAAAGAGTGAACAATGTCTAGCACAGGCAGAATCCATCTGGAATGCTATTGGACAACTGGATCATCCAATAAGAAAAGCCCTCTGACTGTGACTCTGCCCTCCCCTGAAACCTCATTGGTCCTTCTCTCTCAAGCTTCGGTTCGGAACTTAGAACTCTTTCCAGGGATTCTCGAATGTCCAAGAGTTCCGCTAACGAGTCCCAGAGTTCGATCGCAGATGCTTTCCATATATGGGAGACAAGAAGGACGTCTTCCTCTCCGATTATGGAACACACAAAGCTCTCAGAGTTCTGATTGTGCAATCACCTCATACAATAAATCTCTTATAGCTCATAAAGTTGCTTAAACCATGGAATTTAAATTGTTTTGCATTCTTAGCGTTGATTGGAGGAGCAGCAAGACAAATTGTCACCTTCTCCACACAACTCAAAATGGCTGCCCCAAGGAGACGGGATAATAACAACAGAACACAAAAATAACAAAACACAGAATGACAGAGCAACACTCAAGCAGCATTTATGTAGGTCTTCTCCTCTCCATCTCCACCTTATCCCTCTGTCTTTTCTCTTCTTCCAGCTCAGGAAGTCTCGCCGCTTCATGCAAGCAAGTTCGTTATCATATCCTCATTGCGGGATAATGTCACCGTCTAAGAGAGTACAATCTCAATGCAACTTAAAAGTGTAGTTTATGTATCAAAGCACAGGTTCAAAGAGTTTACAAAGCAGACCCGGACCTTATTACTTATTGACTTTGATTCAGTGACTTTTATCTGATGGGATGCCAATTGGGAACCTTTTGTACCATGGGGGGGATACAAAATGGTTGCAGAAGGTAATGTGTCAAGTGAGAGCCAGAGCTATCGGAAACACCTTATATCTTTTTGTTTTCGTGAAAGAAGGTGCAGTAATTGATAACTTTTCAAAAAGTAAATGGTCCAACTCTGAAACTACAACTGTGAGGAAATGACATTATTTATGTGCAGTCAGTTGGAGTTAAATATCAAAAAACAAAGGCTTAACTATTACTCACCACAATGTCTACTCTGCACCTGAGTTCACACATCACTAAGGTTACTGTGATGTGCTATGGGCAGTATTTTGAGTCAATGCTTTTGGGCAACCAGTTGGTAGCAGAGACTTGAGAAGAATGCGATTTCGCTTGAGATAAAGACAAGAAGATGGTAGTATGACATAGCTTCTATATCTTTTTCCTTGCAGTTTCTTTTACTCAAGCAGCAAGATCACTTGAATAAAAGCTTTCCAGTTCTTAACCTTTTGTCCTTTCTATTGTTTATTTTTATAATGTTGGTCGTATGTGAAGTGAAGCTTATTATACTGCACTATATGAATGAAAGCAATATGGAAACTGTTGAGTTAAAAATCTGTGAGTGTAGAGGCAGCTTTGTGGGAAAGAAAACAGGAAAGGAGGTCAAATTTTACTGCATCATGATACAGTTGGCTCGAAGAAATGGTGCAGAGCCAATCTGACAAACTCAGTAACACTGTCTGTGCCACAACATGCTACCCAATGTGCTATGATCCTTTTGACTGCATCTGGAAGCTAGCAAACAAATGAATCTCGATGGACCGTTGATGGTAAACACAACGCCACCACTGATGTATGCCATTCTTTCAAATCTTCTTTCAAATAAGTAGAAAACATAAATTGAATCCGAGTGGCGCCGTGAAGAATTCTCGTTCAAGATTTACCAAATTTGACCAGAAAATCTAGGACTGTCACTCTATATATCCATGTCTTTTACCCTGCTAGACAACTGAAATGGTTCACTGCATTTGATTAAGCACAAGCAAAATGCTAAAATATCATATTCTTTCATCCTATACCCTGTTTCATCCATCTCACCTTCCTTACACAACCATCTTTACTTTTCTAATATCAACACTTCATTTCACCTAAGTACCACCATACTTTGCTTTCTCCCATTGTGCACTACCCACATTCTCTTTCAAATTATATTACATAGCTTTTTTGTACATACATTTTGTTTGTATATTTCTTTAAAAAAATACACAGAATAGAGCATAATTAAGAACTTTTTTTGGCAGCTTCTTCCTTTCTCAGAGGAAAGTCCCGATCATCATCAGATGTAACAAGAGACGAAGACTTCTGCTTTTCTTTTAGTCTGAAAAGGAACCTCCAACTTGGCAGAGCAAAGGTGGAGAAGAAAAAATAACTCTGAAATTCTTTCTTTCCTTCCTTCAATCTTCTCCCTAAAGACTTCTTCAATCACTCACCCCCCCGCCCCCACCTACTCGTCAACCCTGTGGCCTTCAAACAGTCGCTCCCAGCAGCTCTTCCGTCTTGGCCATGATCTCGTTCTGGTTGGAGTCCAAGCCGTAGAACTTGACCTTCAGCCCATCGACAGGGTGAACCACGGGTACCGTGACCACGCGGGGGAACTGCCGGGTGGCCAGCTCGAAACGGCTGGTGCAGGCAAGCTCAATAGCCAGGATGCGAAGGAACAGAGTGGCGAGCTGCTTGCCCAGGCAGGACCGGACACCGCCGCCGAAGGGAAGGTAGTGGAAGCGTCCTTCTTTGTCTTCTCCCCGCTCCTGGCTGAAGCGGTCAGGGTCGAAGGCGTCCACATCCTTGAACACAGCTGCGGTGTCATGGGTGTCTCGGATGCTGTACATCACACTCCAGCCCTTTGGAATCTGGACACCCTGGAGACAGAAACACATAGAAATTAAGCCAGTGGGCAGTTTTGTAGATGCAGTCACAACTGTAAGAAGATTTCGTTGGTTTAATCAATTCCGGAAAGGATGTTGCACAAGAGTCCTTGATCAGAAAATACAAAACGTCTTCATCATTTTTCCGCATGACAAGAGCCATAAATAAAGATTTTAAAGAAATATAAACAGTTAAGTGGCTACAGTATTGAGTCGGGATCTATTACTTGGCTACTCACATCAAGTTCGAATGTCTGCATGGCGGTTCGGTAGGCCCCTGAGACAGGTGTAAAGAGTCTCAGCACCTCCTTGATGACACAATCCAGGTACTTGAGGCTCACGATGGTGTCCAGCCTCAGTTCTCCTTCGGGGCAGAGGCAGCCATTGTGGAGGAGACCCCTGGCTCTGAGCTCCTCCCTCAGGCGCTCCAGGACGGGAGGGTGGCGGAGGAGCTGCATGATGAGTGAGGTGCTGGCGCTGGCTGTGGTGGCGAAGGCAGCAAAGATCAGCTCGATGGTCGACTCCTGAGGGGTGACAGAGAGGCAAGATGGTGTCATTAGTGTCCTGGTTCCTCATACTGTTTGGTTTGTTGCAAGTTGCTAATGAGTGATTCATATTCAGATGTTTTAGATCCTCAAGGGATAAAATCAGGCAATATTTCAAAAGGCAAAAGATATGAGAAGCCAGATTTTTTTTTCTTTGCCATTTTGTTGATCATCTTGCAACCACAGATAAAACTGTAGTTTGACTCTTTTCCACAAAGGGTTTAGCAAATGTCAAACTTTACTCTACAGGCAGCTTCTAAACAATCTACATACCTCTGACTGCCACTATTCACTACTCAGCCAGAGCTGGGAAAAGCCAGTCACTGATATGGAAAGTAAAGTTTAATTTTAGCGTGAGGACAAAGTTACACTGAGTTCAGAACTGCACTGAGGGCGTTTGAGTTGATCTGTCTTTACTTTGTGGGAATGCCAACTGGTTTGTGCTTCAGCTTCTGATGGGCTAATTGCTTGTCACTTGAATAAAGGGTCCGGAGAATGGAAATATAGATGGGTGAGGGTGAACATTAGCCAAATGTCCAACCATAGCCATGAATACTGTTTTTGAGGTGGTAGCAATACAAAATACACAATTTATGACTGAAGGAAACAGATTTGTTGTTGTCAGTGGCATTTTGATTTCTTCTCAAAATGTGATATCTTTTTGTCAGTAATTATTGAGCCAAACTGTGACCAGCCTGGTACCTCAACCTTACTTTGGCCACGAATCAACTACCCCACACCTCAAGCTCGCCCGTTTTTTTTTTTGGTAACACAAGGCCAAAAAAAAAATGTCAAAGCCAATACATAATAAAAGTATGCAGTTCTTGATTCCTGAAAGTAGCGTGTTTGGAAATCTGAAGTTCATATCCAATAACAACATTTAGCGCACCGTGCTGGGCCCATTATTAAGGTAGTGGAATAAGTAACACAGAGGCTGGGCAGCACGACTCTTATTATAAACCTCTCATCTGCCATCTGTGTCAAAACACATCTCTGCCTCACCCTACGTGTGTGTGTGTGTGTGTGTGTTATATATATATGCGTGCGTCAGAAAACTGCAGGAGAGTGCTTCAGCCTGGGCCTCTGCGACAGGGGCTCCCCAGTTCACTTTGTGTGTGTATTTATATACTGTATGTGTGTGTGAGTGTGTGCGCGCACAGGAGGCCTCTTTCAGACCCCTAGCAAGGGGAGTGTTGACTTATTTTTGGCCCTGGACTTAACCCAGAAACCACAGAGCACGAGAGAGAGGCAGAGAGAGTTGAGTTTCCACAGAATTCCTTAGAATTACTTTAATAGGTAAATAGAGGGTGTGCCTGTCCGCGTGTGTGTGTGTGTGTGTGTGTCTTGTACTGTTACTTTCGGCCTATGGGCACCAGCGTAGCATCCCTGCAGTCATATTTACATAAAGATGTGTATCATAAGTCATAGCTTATGATGCCAAGATGATTTGTTGGAGAAATTATGATAATTGTTGATGTGTACAAGCTCAGTCAGCCAAGACAGGTTTCCTTTGCCAGCACTTTGCTAGGTAAACACTGAGTGTGTTCTTTATGTGTGACTTTGTGTGTGTTTGAACACACACACACATCAGACCTGGTGTGTATCTGTTCTGTATGTGTTAACGTTCCCACGTGTGATGTTTTTTTGTGCATCTGGCGTCTCTCCAGTACATGTTTGCACACCTTTCTTCCCGCTCAGGTGATTTTTGTGCGTAGGTGTGTTACCTTGAGTTCCTGCATGGTGAGCTCGGTGCCGTTCTCTTTGGCGCTCTCCATCAGGACGTCCAGCGCGTCGCTGTAATCCTTCCCCTGGGAGCACAGCGGCTTCTCTCTGATGGCCTTCTCTATACTTTTCTGCAGGGTGTCTCTTGCACGGATACCCTGCAAACACATACAAACGAAAGTGAACACCATAAATCGAAATGTCTTTCAAAGGAGCCCATTGATTTAAACAAATACCTTATGTGCCCAAGCACCCAAATATTTTCAAATCAGTTTATTCTCCTCTTGTGATGTTGATGACTCAAAAAGGGGTGAATTAAGCGCTTATTATGCACTGGAGGTCTGCATTAGTAAGCAAAATACATTTTCTAGCAAATGCAATGTAGCATAAAGGGAATAGTTTTGTTTTTGGGGCACAAATTAATAGAAAATAGAGGCAAACAACTCATCATTTGACAAAATCATGGTAAAACTCAAGGGGTTTTTTTAAGTATAAAGTTTGTAGCCTTGAAGGAGTCAAGGGTGCCCATACATACCTTCCTGTAGCCGCTAAACGGCAGGTCTATAGGCAGGCTGAACAGGTTGTCAACAAAGTCCTGGAAGGTTGCGAACAGATGCCTCATCTCCTCCTCTGACACCCTGAATCCCAGCAGCACCCTCACCGCCATGGTAAACGACAACCTCTGGCTCTCCCTGGGGACAGACAACCAATTAGAACCTCAGTTACATCCAGTGATGAATCTCACTTGCCTTTACACCCCTTCTTAATGACCGTTCTTGATCCACAACTTTTTTTTGTCTTATGCGACACTGCGGATTAGATGTTACGCTGATGATGTGTCGCTTTATTGTGATCCATAGAAAATGATAGTGGCCTCTCCAACTTACACTAACCTGCAACAGAAATTGTGTTTCGACACAAATAATTATCATTTCTACCTCAGATGACAATGTTTTTACCCATGATGCCTCTTGCACCTGAAGACTTTCTTCTTTTTTTCTTTCTTTTGAAAAACAACTGAGATGTCTTTATTTTTTATGACGATATTGCTGCAGTGATTGATGTTTTTTACGATGAGCTGATCTTCTCATAATAAAATTGTTTATTTCTGCCTTTAGTGATAACCTGTCAATAATCCAACTCCATCATGTATTTTTTTTCTTTAGGTTGTGTTTCTTCTTGTAGCAAAAATCCTCTTGGCACAATTACCATGACATTCCTATCTCTTGTGAATGTGTTTCCACACTAGGATCTGACCCCTACCTGTAGACGTTGATGGGCTCAGGGTTGGAGCTCCATACTCTGAGGCTCTCCTGGATGACCTGCTGGATTTTCGGGAGGTAGGATTCCAAGGCCTCATGGCTGAACACTTTGGCAAACACCTGGAGAGAGAATAAGATATATATAGTGTCATCTACAGAGCAGAATTTGTCTGCACATGTCTGTTCATGACACATAATGTACAGACAGATAAAGATCAACATGGATTTTCATTAGATGCTCATAAATCGTATGACTTGGCACACAGACAGCAAGCATACAGAAATTTGTTTGAACCACTGCAAGTCCAAGCAGAAGACAAAATCACTGATTAAGCAAAAAGGCTGTATATAGTAATTCCAGTACGTACAAAGACACACCGAAGCAGAATGTCCTTAGGAACCCTCTTAGTGTGGATAATCCTGACTGTTTATTCTGCTGTAATATTTACATTTATAATACTTTAACCACCCCTACAAATTTAATCCAATCAAATATTTGCATGACTGAAAAGTATATATGTTATTTTTGTGGCTCATTGGATATCACTGTTGGGCATGTCTGTCTTTCCACCCCATTGGTCCAGACTGAAATATCTTAATAAATATTTGGTGGATTGCTGTGATATTTGGTACATATATCCATGCTGCCTTTAGGATAAATACTGCTGACTTTAAGACACATGTGGTTATGTGTAGGCACAAAAAAACGTTGTTGGAGTATGGAAAAGATCATTTTTTTTGGCTTAAAAGAGACACTTGTGTTGTTGCTACAACCACAGTTGGAAATGTGCCACTGCACCTTAAGAAATATGCTGTTGTTGTCACTAGAAGCTCTACTGGAAAAGCACCAAGGTCACCTTAAAAAATACCCGTTGCTGCTGCCACAACCACTACTGAAAACGTGCCAATGCACCTTAAAACATATGTGGTTGTTGTCACCACAACCTCCGCTGGTAAAGCACCAAGGTCACCTAAAAAAATGTCCAGTTGGTGTCACCACAACCACCGCCAGATATGTGCTGACGTTGCCTCAAAAATACCTGGTTGTTGTCGCCACAACCACAGCTGGAGATGTGCCACTGCACTTTAAAAAATGTGTGGTTGTTGTCGCCACAAGCTCTGCTTGAAAAGCACCAAGGTCACCTTAAAAAAATCCTGATTGTTGTTGCCACAACCATTGCTGAAAATGTGCCATTGCACCTTAAAAAATGCCCAGTTGGTGTCACCACAATCACTGCCAGAAATGTGCTGATGTTGCCTCAAAAATACCTGGTTATTGTCTCTGCAACCACGACTGAAAATGTGCCGACGTCGCCTTAAAATGTCAGTTATCATGTAGTTCCCATCATCAGGTAATACTTTCACATTTCTGTGACAGACAAACCAACACAATGTTGATGGTATTTCACCTACTGCAACAGTGTAAAAACTTTACGAGGCTTTAACTCAATGCCAGTGGCTCTCTTGAAATTTTGCATAGTTCATCCTTGTACAGTGTTCCTAACATTCCCCTCTGTCTCTCTCCTGTCACATCTCTTCAACAATTTCTATCCATTAATCCCCTTCGTCTCTCTCTTGAATTATACCTAGACAGGACTTTCCATCGTGTGTTCCTTCTTATTCATTTTCATGTGATGCCCATTCCTTATTCATCTCCCTCCTTCTTCACAGAGACTTATACATTGTGGAGGTTTTCCCCTGTAGTCAGCAGAAGTAGAATGACGGGCAGAAAGAGCAGGGGAGAGGGGGGGGGGAGAGTTAAGTCTTTCCTGGCTGCTCGTAGTATTTCTTAGTATGAATCAGTCACCAGTCGTCAGTGTTGTTTGGACAAATAACATTCCATCTGATTTAACCTCCAAAACTGCCCTTAAAACAGTCTTGGAAATGATTTAGAAGTGGAGAGCATTGGAGAGGAGAGGAGAAAAGTGAGCGGACTGGGTTAGAATAGGGCTTTTATATTAATATGAATCAGTCACTAACACTTAGCTCTATGTGGATAAATAACACTCTTGTGCATTTAGCCTTTTGAGCTCTCTGAACAGTCACAATTTGGTCTAAATGTAGAAGAGAATGGCTCATATCACTGCTGCTCGGGCGAAACGTCAGCTTTTCAGTGACGAAGGGCAACAGTTGCACTTTCTAGCGATGTTTTAAAACACTGCAGCCTGGATGACTAATTCTTCACATTAGGTTCAATACAAGTTACAACACTAGGTTTTATTTGATCAGTAATCGCAGGAGGAAATGCAGCACGTTGTCGGGTACACATGGTTTGCATTTTCTGCCCAATGAAATGAAGCTGTAACATTTGGAGAAGAACGCTTTATATTAGAGATAAATGTTTGTCTAACTTTAAGAGCCTTGCAATCGTTTTAGAGACGCTAGTTTAGATGTTGGGCCAACGTTTGCATGTAATCGCTGTATTTCTTTATTTCCTTTTAGCTCCCTCTTTATTTTCTAACCTGCATAAACTCTGTTGCATCTTGTCCGTGGTTTTTCTCAACTTATTTTACTGTTGTGGGTTCTTGTACTTTTTATAACCATGCCGATAAACTAAACTTTGCTCAACATAATAAAGACTTCAGTTTTGAATACCTTTGATGGAATGTTGCATCATTACACGCTAAATCTCCTAGAAGACGTTTTTAAAGTGGCGTCTGTCCAGAATTAACCAGCATGACTGCACCATAGTGTGTTCGCACAGGATGTATAGCTTTTAAATCCCATAATGCGTAAAGAAAATGACTTTATTGTGTATTTGTAATATCTTTTATACACTGAAATAACATGGCTATAAAGACAAAGTGTTTCTGCTTCTTTTCACTTACACATAGCGGTGGCTGAGAGGGAAGACAGGAGCTTCTAGTGGGATTTGAGCCCAGGCCAGTGAGGGTACATGTGGTTCCTGAGGTCGATGTTTTAGCCACCAAACCATCAGTTGGGCACTTGTACTCTTATTTTGTCCTCTACCTCATTTTCCTCTCATTTTCTTTCTCCTCCATTGCCCTCTTCCCTCTCTCCCTCTCTCTCATCATTCCTCCAAACCCTCCCTCCGTCCGTCCGTCGCCCTCAGAATGAATGAACAATAGTCCACTGAGCTGGTGCTGTGTGCATGTGTGAATTACGTTGTATGCATGGGTACATATACATATATATAAATATATGTATATGCTGTGTGTGTTAGGGAGTGGTTAGCGCAGATCACAGGGCGCTCAAAGACGTTAGCAGTGCTACATTTCCTCTGCTGCCGCACCCTGGAGCCACTGGTCACAGATCAGCTTACATGACCTGCTCTCCAACCCCAACCACAGGGGATTACATACACTATCTGACCTCAAAACAGTCTGGGGAAGAGGCTGTCGTGGCTGTGCTTTTGTTTGCTTGGCAGTCAATTTTAGATAGCGTGTAGGAAAAGTTGATGTGGATGTGTGTTTGATTTGCCACTGTTGGCTCGTCGATTGAGCAGGGTCAGTTAGGTGTGGATAAAACTTGGAGGAATGATGCAGCTGTAAACTGTCTGTCAGTATTTTCAAAACTACATCGATTATTCCAGGAGGGTTGCCATTGTTACACCCAAACAAGTACTTCTCTGTCTTATTTGTTCGTCACCAAGTTGGTTACTTGCAACGCATTTCCACTAGATCTAGCAAGGAGTCTAGATGTTCCGATCATCTTTTCCTTTCCGATACCAATTCCGATCCACCGTGCGTATCCGCCAATGTCCGGCGTGCCTCAGACTAAACCTCTTGTAAAACATGAACAAATACATACAGAGAACGAATGCCATAGCTGTGGCTCGGAAGGTAGAGTGGGTCGTCTACAAATCTGAAGATCAGCGGTTGGATCCCCGGCTCCTTCTGTCTGCATGTCAAAGTATCCTTATCCTACAGAGGAAGCACTGCTCCACTCAACTGCTTGATGGGCGCACTCACTAACAAAGTACGAGGGTTCCAGTTCTCTCCTGGACCAATCATGGACTGCACTTAACTGGTTCTCTGCTTACTGTTCCACACATGGAAGCAATGTGGCGGCTTGCTTTTAAACTTTCTGTTATTCCAGCTAAACAGTCAAGCAGGATCTGTTTCTGAAAACATTTGAGGCAAGAGATACGCAGCGCCACTGCTGAATCTTGTTTTGTTTTAGAACTACATCGCCTAGTTTGACAGCTTGGTCCAGGTTTTGTGAGCCAGGCGCATCATGATGGACAGACGCAGTTGCATTAAGTTGAAACTAGTCTAAAGGCAGATATATAGTTTATAGTTGGTCGTTGCAAGTTCTTCACTATAACTAGCAGCATTCACAAACACTTGTCTTTATCTGGACACATTTTCCCCACATATACAACATGCTAACGTTATTAGCACAAGCCTATGGCATTTTACATTGTATAAATTAGCCAGGGACAACAGCAACATCTAGTAAAGGTGACATTACAAGATTCAGCTTCATTTTAACTCACAAGCTTCACCGACAAAACAGTTGTATTATACTAAACATGTTTTCCAAACAAATACAACATGCTAACGTTATTAGCACACGCGTACAGCATTTTACATTGTATAAATTAGCCTAGCAGCTAACAGAGATTTCCGCTGCTCATGTGAAGCCAGGATAAATTACACATAAGACTTAAAATGCTGTTTTGTGGGGGCTTTATTGTCTTCACAATTTATTGTTTCACAGGTCTACGACACCACAGCGTTTAGTTACTTTTACTGCTACAACGTAGCAGTACACACCTATGTAGAGCCTACAGCACAGATCTGATGTTGATTTGACGCAGGAGTATAAATCCTGCGACCAGGATACACACCACAACCCCTACTTCAAACTCACCACAACACTCCAACCATGCACTGCGCAACTGCTTCTGCTCTCCATACTTCAAAATAGAAAGCGTTGAGACACCCTTTGTCGCCAGATCTGGCGGAAATGCGTCGGTTGGTTACATCAGGTGAGTCATTTGAGTAATTTCACTGATTACTTAGTCCATTTGTCATACATAGAGTTATTAAGTAAATTACTCTCGTAGTTATGTGGTCAGTTTAAGGGAGCTGTTTTACCGTCTGTTAAAGATTTAGTTGGTTATGTGGCCGTTGGTTCATTTTATGGGCTCCTTC